TGGCGATGCCAACGGAGCTCCGCTGCTGGGACCGGAAACGGCGGCATTCCGGCCAGCACTGCCGAAGAACCTGTCTGCTCGAAGGCCCTCGAGCTGCAGCGGCGGCAGAGGCCCATCGCGAGCCCCGGACAAGGGCGGCAGCTGTAAGGTGGGCAGCGATGGCGGCGGGAGCAGGTCTGTGTTGGGGAGCTCCGGGATTGTCGGCGGATCGTCGTTCAAGAGGTGGATCAGACGCGGCTCAATGGTAGCCATGGCGAGTTATCCGCAGTGGTGAATCTCGAGGAATGAATTGACGATGTAATAAAGTAGGTAGTAATAGCAAGTAGCCGGGTCGACGGAGAGGCACACGTGAGCGAGGGTATTCGAGATTTGGGTCAAGACGGATCAAAGAGCGACCAAGGGGGGGGAGAGGGGGGGGATGTTGGATGGAAGAGAGGATGATGGGAAACGAAGGAGAGGGAGAGGATGAAGAAAAGAGTGTGAGTTGGTTAAAAGAGTGTGTAAGAGTGTGTAAGAGCGAGAGAAGATGGTAGAGAGGGAGAGAGGGAGAGAGAAAGTGACCGGATGTGCCTATGCTCTGCTCTGCCGCACTTCTGCACAGTGAGGCCTCGACATGTCCCTCCTTGGGTTCAGGTTGTCTTAGTTGGCGAACGAGGAGCTGGAATTCCGCGTTTTGCTTGTCCGGGTGCAGGCAGCCCTGCTAATGCAATGCCACTGGTGCTGCTGCGGCTGGAGACCAATTTGGAGGGAGAGGGAGGACGGGAGGGATCATGAAAGGGGATTGGTTGGGAATAGGGCATCGAATAGCACAAGGGAGAGAGAGGGAGAGCTGAAGAGAAAGCTGGAGTGGTGGCAGCACGTGAAGCGCTCACGTTTGGCTGCTTGGGCGAGGCATGGATGGAATCGAACTCGCGAAATGTGGTTTAGTGCCTCGGGGAGACGAAGCCGAGACAGGCGCCACAGCACGGGGAGTAACGATTGATTAGGTACCTAGTAGGTAGTAGCAGCGGGTGAGAAGCACAAGCAAAAGGAAGGGGGGAAAAGACGGACAGAGAAACGAAAAGAAGGCGAGGAGAAAAGGAACCAGCAAAGCCCGACAAATCAAGCGGAAGCAGAAGCAGAGCTCGGCTTTAGATGCAAGGCACGGCGGCGCGTCCTCCGGGGGGGCCAGAGCACAGCGCACAGTTACAGGCGGCCTAGGTACATGTAGTTGGTGGCTCTGCTACTGTACTAACCTCAAGCGTCAGCCGGCAACAGGGTGATTGATTTGGAAAAGAGAGAGAGAAAAAGAGGGAGAGGGGGGGAAAGGCAAAAAAAAAAAAAAAAAAAAAAAAAAAAGCAAAAAACGTCGCGTACTTGGTACAGGCTGAATGTGACGTCAAAGGTAGGCCGCTACTGTACCGTGTACCTTAGATACCTTAGTAGTAGCTTGTCTCGGCATTGGTAATAATCTCTAATGTCCACGTCTACCTCTAACCTCCCGTTGCTCCGTATACCCGAATTGAACTTTGCTCATGGTAGGAGGTAGCACCAAGGTACCTTTATTTGGCAGTCATTTGCTAGCACTGAGTGTGTCAATGCAACGTCAAGCAGCGTTTCGACCAAAAAAAAAAAAAAAGATACAGAATAGGTAGAAATTGGGTAAAAAAATGGTCGCGTGCAGCTGCAAGCAAGCAAGTTTGGTCCCAATACCGTCCACGTTGGTTCGCTCAGGCATTGTCCAGAATCATCACCCCCCGAATTATGCCGAATTCGACTGCCCTCTCACTTCAAATTGTTCCTCCGCATCGTACGTTTGCGGCTGCAGCTGACTGACGCTCGGCACTACGGTATCATGCCCCGCCGTACCCAGTACCGCACCGGCAGTGTCTTACATGGCAAAGGCACCCCAGCGAAGAAGGGCGCTCAGGTACCGGTACGAGTCGCAGTGGTCGTCAGCGCCATGGCAACAGCTGGAATTGACGGGCCAAGTCTCAGCTGAATTTCACCGCAGGGCCTCTGCTCTCTCTGAGTGTGTCTCTTGAGTGTGTACGTACGAGTAGATCCTGCTCGATCGATACCTAACCGGGAGCTGCCCGAGGGTTCAAGGTTTTTTTCTGTAGTGGTTGATTTCCTTTCCCCGTATCACGAGCTGCATCTCGAGCCCAAAGAGGAACCTGCAGCATCAAGTCTACCATACGCTCACAATCTACGAGGGGCTGCTGTTTGTTTGGGTTGGACGGAAACGGAAACATCCAATCGTCGTCGCAAAACAGCCCAAACATCGTCACCAATTGTCGCAGTGGTTTGCTGCATATTCAACGTCTCCACGCCTCCGATTTTTTCACTTGGTCACTTGGCTTCTCACTTCCCTCTCGCCTCTCATCGTCCGGCTCACACTCACACTCACACCACTCGTCATCCCATCCCCATCTTCATTTCCGTCTCCAGCTCCATCTCTTCCCCTTCTTCCCCTTCTTCTTCTTCTTCTTCTTCTTCTCCCCCCCCCTCATTTTCCAGACGCACAACGCACAAGCACATGATGGCCGCCTCTCTGCCGCCGTTCCCCCGCCTCGTCTTCACGGTCCTCGAGCCCTTGTCGCTGTAAGCCCAGCCCACTTGCTGTATGACTACCTTGCCTTATTGCATCGCTTGCCCAATCGTGGCAACTTAAGACAGCCCACCACTCGGTTTCTCAGCTTTTCTCCATCTCTCCATCTCTCCATCTCTCCATCTCTCCCTCTTCTCCCATCCTAAGCTTCTGCTTTGTATGCATAAAATATGGGGTTCACGAGGTTTGGGAGGGTGGCAGCAAAGCCCAATCACTGCTCCTCTGCCCAAGAAAACCCACACAAAGTCGTCAAGGCCACCCACTGCAGCGAGGACGAGGACGGCAAGCGAGAGAGAGACTATGTATCACTTCGTAACTGTACAGTACGAGTAACGGCTAACCTGGGCCTGAGCAAATCACAGCGTGGCAGGCTTCGCCGGCGCCGTATACGACCCGGCATGGTTCGTGGCACAGCAGATCCCCCAGGACAAGCCTCTGGTTGCCTCGGACAATAGCATCGTCATGGCCCATCAGCTGGGCAACATGTATCTTGGGATGTGCCTTGTGGGCTTGGCCCTGTTCTGGACAACGTCCGAGGCCAGGGTCGTCCGCAGCTATCTCGTCGCCCTCTTGATTGCTGATGCCGGCCACGTTGGATTCACAGTTCACGGCCTAGGCTCGGACAGGTTCATGGACGTCTCTGGGTGGAACGCCATGGCCTGGGGGAATCTCGGCGCCACGGTACGCACATTTCCCCTCTCTTGACTTTGACTTTGAGTTTGACTCCCGGTTTGGCTCTCTTGTCTTTGGTCTCCATCAAGCCAGTGCCTCCACTGCTTGTCCACATCTTATCCACCATGTTCAGGCATTCGAGACGAGACCGGGCAACCGAGACCGGGCAGACTTCAACTGCCGCTTGAGTAGCAGTGCTGCTGCATTTAGTACTGCATTTGTTGGCATTGCAGCTAATCGTGCGTTTTTTTTTTTATTCTACAGCTGTTTCTCGCCTTTACGCGTATTGCGTATCTCTCAGGCATGTTTGGCCCGGACAGACATGTGTCGGCCGCCATCACGGCCCAGAAGAAGAGCAACTGAGGCCGAGGAGCTACATACAGCACGTATGAGTCGACGATGAGAGCCGGTCCAACCAGATCATGCCTGCCCGTCGTCATTAATGATCATGCCATGACCTCTGGCTCCGTCTCTGTACGCCACCAAGTGCATACCGTACCCGTACTTGCGGTATTACGAGTAGTTACTCTGCTTGTCTGCCTCTCGGTCCAGTGGGGCTCACGGCTTGCCCAACTACGAGTACAATGGCCAGGAAACTCTCCGGGCTTTGTCTCGGCCAGTCTGACCGAACAGAACAGACGCCGCCAGCTCTAGTCCAGTCCCTTTGTCATGCAGAGATTTCCTGTGCTTTTTATTCATGGCGAGTTATTTTTCTCTCTCCTCGGCCTGATACAGTAGACGATGCGAGTACAAAGGCAACGCAACATAAAGCTGTACTGTACTCCACACTTGAATAGATTCCATAGCCCAGTTTAGAAAGCGTGTCTTACTCGTACTTTGGGTCTCTCTCAGCCGAGAAGCTTCAGCCATCTATCTGCCTTGTGCACTTTTGAGTAATTTTTCTGGTTCATGCTGCTAGTACCCGATACCTCGCTTGCTTCTCAGCTCTGTGAATCTGGCAACGTCTTCCAACCCATGTCCCGTCCTGCCAGGGTGCTACTCGCGGCGTAGGTACTCGTACACAGTACTTGGCCGGTTCACAGTTCCGCAATCTTACGAGTACAAGTACACAGTCGCACAGGCCCAACCAACAGCTTTTACGCCGTGATTGCGCATTGTCCCATGCTGAAACCTGACGCCTCAATCCGCTTAAAGAAAGAGAAAGAGAGAGAGAAGGAGAAGGAGAGAGAAAAACAAGCCAACACACTGCATTCGATGCTCGTGATAGGCCAGCTTGGTTATCTGTGCTCCAGTCCAGGCACGTTGAACAAGGAAAGCTTCCAGTTCTAGCTTCTCATTGTCCCTCCTCCACTGTGGAGCTGCCCCCAGCGCGGAGGTCAGGCGTCGCCGCAACCGGCCTAGCGCATCGTGGCGCGCAGGGGACAAATCCCGACTTTTTAGAGGGATAGGGTTAGGTCTAACGTTAGGGTTGGACGTCCATCGCGTTGTTGCGCAATACAAACAGAGCAGACGCTGCCTCGGAACAAACAAAGCATCTAATCAAAGAGAGCCGCTAATTCTCTTTGACGGCCGAGATCATCAGTCCGGTGCTGGTCTGTCGCGGGAGCCGTGTGTCGTGTCCATTTGTATTTCCTAGCTTCCATTATTATTATCAGTGTTTTATCCTCTCCTTCTCTCTCTCTCTCTTCGTCTCTTGTTCTGATCCACGGCCTCTGCTCCGCTGTCCGGCACTTGTCCCGCTTTGCGTCGTGTCAGATCTCATTGCAGCTAGCCCAAGATGCAGACCCGGCGGTCCAAAAAGGCCGTCGAGCCTGCGCCATCCTCCTCTCCTCCACCACAGCCCAGGAGAAACCCACCTCGAGCGACTAAGCAGCGTGGGAACGAAGCCGCCGTCAGGGAATCTAGTTCCTCCCCTAGCCCTCCTCCAAGCTCCTCGCCTACAAGACCGACGACTTCTCTCCTCCTCCCTCCTCCTCCTGCTCCTGCTCCTCCTCCCTCTTCTCTCCCATCTCGCCCACTTCCGCCGCCGGCAACCCCATCACATTCGTCCCCTGTGCTACCAAGCATAGAACCTCCAAAGGGTCTAACGTCTGTGCCACGCAAAGGTTCCATTGTGTTTGATCCAAAGCCGCGTCGTGGCGCTCCTCGTCATCTCAGCGTCAGTAGTATAGCGACAAACCCTAGGAGGGACAACACTGACGACGAGTACGACGACGACGACGACGAAAGCGTTGCCCCAGAGCCCAAATCCGCGGCTCAGCTGCTGGAAGAAGAAATGGTCCAACGTGATGTCGAAGAGGCCGAGAATGAGATCAAGCTCGAGGCCGCTCCTTCTTTAGCTCGGGACGCCAAAAACCTCATCGGCCAGTTGCAGAACAAGTCACGGCCGTCTTACGAAAAGGTGCTCCTCATGAAACTGCAGTTATTCAGGGCGTCTCGCAGCATTTTCCAGCCTTCTCACCAGGCATCCCCTTTTCTCGACTGGGACTGGGTGGACAAGGCGGGAGAGGACATCCCGGAGACGGAGAATGCAACCATTCCGCTTTCTATCAAGCTGGCAAACATTGCCACCGCCCTCATGCAAATAGAAAGCATCGAGTCTGAGGGAGACAACCCTGTGCCTTTTCTCGAGGCCGTAGACACCCTCTTTCCTCTGCATTTCGCCGCTGAAGAAACGCAGTACAGGTCAATGTCTCTTGAAATCCGCACCCAGAGAGCCATCGAGAGCATAGCAAGGTCACCCCAGGCCACCGACCTGCGCGGCATGCTGGGCCACGCGTTTTGCAACATGAACGCCCCAGATGCCCCCGGCGACTATGGCAGTCTTTTTAGCAAGGGCCCTTACAAGCCCCTGGCGGACCTCGATCAGCAGTCACTGGTAGACGTTTGTTCGCAAAGAGTCTCCAACATGTGGAAGATAATGTCTGATGGCGGCAAGAGAGGGATTAGGACTCCCGTGGATCTGCCCAGCATCCGAGCTCAGTATTCCCTCAAAGAGACGCTCAACGACCTCAAAGAATGGCTCATGGACAGATATTCAACAATTTCGCATTTGTTGAACAGGGCAGAGCAAGAGAAAGTCGCCATGGAGAAAGAGAGGCTGCGTGAGCAATGGCGCGCCGAAGAGCAACGGCTGTTCCGAGAGCAGCGAAAGGCTCGAGAGGAAGCGCAACAAGCTCTTGAGGACGAACATGGGGCTCGAGAGCAGCAGCGAAGAGCCAAGGAAGAAGAACTCAGGGCTCGAGAAGAAGCACAGCAAGCTCGGGAGAGGGAGCAACGGGCTCGGGAAGCTGCCCGAAAAGCTCAAGATCGAGAGAAACGCGCGCGAGAAGCAGCAAAACAAGTTCACGAGAGAGAGAAACACGCTCAAGAGCAAGAAAGAGCTCGCATCGAGAAGGAGCAGCAAGCTCGACAGGACAGGACTCGAAAGGCAGACAAGAGAGCCGCCCGCGAAGAGACATATCCAGATCTGCCACCCCTCAGCGACGAGAATAGTTATCCTGACCACGACTCCTTTGACGGATCTTCCCAGGATCTGAACATCTCCCAGCCAGAGCCGCCGCCACAACGGTTCAAAAGCCGAGATAGAGAGTAAGCCCCAATATGTTCCACCATTTCTCCCCCCTTTGATCGCTGATACTCGTTTCTAGCAGCTCCTTATTCATGGGCAGAAAGCTAATCGGTCTACTCGGTGGCGTATCTTTTGCCCAACCGCCACACTCGGGGTCCTCGCGCAAGCGAACATATCAGCAAAGCGAAGATCTTAGTGAGGTCGGCGACTCTGATGACAATCAAGAAGAAGAAGAAGAAGAAGAAGAAGAAGAGACTTATGAAGAGGAGGGAGAGGAAGATGGAGAGGAAGAAGAAGATGACGACTTTGAAGTGGACTCCAGGCCTGTTAGAGGGGGCAAGGCAACTGCCCCGTCCAGCGTTGTACATCGGCCTCGAAAATTGCCGACGGAACGCGACGATGGCAGATACAACGATGCACAAGAGGAACAGAGGTCTATTAAAAGGAGTAAGACGGCTTCCTCAGCTGCCCCTGTGTACCGGAGCCAAGAACAGCAAGTGGAATATCGCCGCCCTACGGCTAGCACCTCCACTGCGCGGTCGCCTCCGTCCATCCCTCTGTCTGCCTCGCCAGACTTTGCCGCCATCCAGCGGATCAAGGATCAGGCTCGCATGAATGCGCGACTGAGCCAGCCCAAGTCTCTTAAAAGACGATTCGTCTGGAGCGAACACGATTCTGCCACATTGATTGACCTCGTCGCCCGCCGTGCCGCCGGCTGGGCCAATATTGAAAGGGAAGACAGCCAACTTTTTGAGCTTCCCCGGAACGCGCAAGCCTACCGCGACAGGGCTCGCAACATGAAGGTCGACTTCCTCATATCTGACGCGATTCTGCCGCGGGGATTCGACCAGGTCACGCTGAGCAAGAAGGAAATCGACCGGCTGCAGAAGTTGGGCAAGAATCATGCCAGGCGGGAGCGTGATGTAGACAGGAACGGCAGGCCTACGAACACAAAGGCCGACATGTCCTGGCTGCAAGGTTAAAAGTTTGGTGCGTGGGTTAGTTGTTTATACAATTTTGCTATGTTTCGATGGCCAACGACCACTTCACTATTTTTATCGGGGTTCTACAGCGGTGTCATCTGAATCAAGGAACATGAAGATCCATGGGTTTAGGAAACAAAACTTTGCCAGTTTTCTTAGTTTACATATCTCATATCACGGTACCTGTTGATAGTTATGGCATCTTTTATTAGTATTATTTTCTTAGTTGGTAACTGGATGCGACAGCTTCAGACCTTGATGCTTACCTATCTGCCTCGTCAAGTATTGTATGTTACAAGATCGACTAGGTTCGTGTTGAATACCAAACCGCCGAAAAACATCAAGGCAACTCCATCACAGCACGTCATAAAAACCAACACACCCTTCAGAGAGGCCAAAACATACGTAAAAGAAAAAAAGGAAAAAGAAAAAAGGTGGTCAAGTTCCAATTCAAAAAGGACTCTACAAAAGAAGAAAAAACCTCTCTTTCATCCTACTCTACATCTGTCCAAGCAATTTTCCGCGCATACTCATAGATACCTATCCAGGGGCATTTGCTCTTTTTTCTTTTGTTGTTAAAGCTAACGATACAAAAAGGGGGTTTAGGAAACAAAGGTAAAAAGCCACCGGGATAGGTTTCCCATCATCGGGTATCGATCATACTGCTTCGCACCAGGCTGCGGGATAAAAGAGAAGAAAATACCATTCGTCGTCGCCCGTTTCCACAGCTCCAAATTTGGTCTCCAAAGGCGCAATCTTGGGAGGCGTCGTATAAGGGGAGGGGAAAGGACATCAAAAAAGAATGATGGGGGAATCAAAAGTCATTTGCGTATCAAGAAATAAGAGAGAAAAATGAGACAAAAAAAAAGAAAAAGTTCCATCGCGCCATCAACCTGTGTCCTCTGTCAAGAGCAGCACAATCGCCGTGAACAAGAGAGCGGGCGGGAAAGATGCAGTAGAGACAGACAACAACTCTGGAAAAGTGCAGGGAAATGTAGCTTCTCCCTAATCACGTATACCCAGAGTCATGGAATTATAACATCTCTGAATCAAGGCTTCTCAAATGATGTTGGCTTTTTTTTTTTTCCGACGATGCAAAGAAAGAATCTGACATTGGCGCTCCCATGCACAAACAGAAAAGACCTGTCTCGCTAAGAAAATAGAACCCCAAGGCGGAGGTGAGGCCGGGATATGCCACGAGCTAATCGGAAGCGGAAATTAAGGTAAATGGGGCCTCGGAGGGTAGGGTATGAGAAAAGGTTGAAACAAAATGCAGGGTCCACACATGTTCTCTGCAAATTGCTCAACGGGTCATGACAGAGACGCTGTGGTCTGGCCCTGTCGGGATCAAGGCTGCACGTGAAGCTTTATCGCGCGTGGGGGAGGTCACGGTGCTTGAGTCTGTTTGTTCGCCAGCCCTCGTACCACTGCTCTCTGCTCGCCTCGCGCAGCTCAGCACGCCATTCGGTAAAGACAGCTTCCTTCAAGCGCACAAAGTCGCAGTGCTCCTCGTTGTAGGGGTCAGCAAATCCCCAAGGGAACTGCCGGCCGATGACGCCGGGCTCGTAAAGATCGGGGCTGATGATGGAAAGGGGAAGGAATGGCGCTTCTTCCTCTTTGGCATCCTCAGATTTGTGTCTGCGGATGGAGTTTGTAGAGAGTCTCTTCGAATGGCCCGGTGATGCGGCTGGCTTTTCGTCTACTTCGTCTTCCTCTGATTCCTCAGCCTCCTCTTCGATAACACTGCTGCTATCTTCATCCAGGCCCAGGGCCTCCAGAGGATCCAGGTTTGCAGTCTTGATGCTGTCCCAGACCGCCTTTCTGAGGACACTCATGTGCTTTGTGGTGATGGTGTCTGCTTTGGAAATGACGGGAATGACGGTTGTCTTGTGCTGAAGAGTCCGGAGGACTTGGAGGTCGATGTCTTCGTCCAGAGCACCGAGTGTTTGAGTATGGCCATAGCTCCCGTTGGGAACGCCATTGCGCGAAGCAGCAATTTTCGCCGTCGCAATGTTGCGATCCAGGCGAGAAGGGTCCATGACGTAGAAAGCCGCGTGGATATGGGTATCCTTGGCGCCCGGGGAGCGCACAACCTTCATTTCCTCGGCAAAGGTCTCTTCAAATTTGCTCTCCAAGAAAGACGACATTTCTCTCAACTGAAGGTCGACGACGTTCTTCTCCAAGCCCTCGGAATCCCAAAGGGTCAGCCCGATTCGCTCGCCATCAATTTCCGTCTCCAGATAGTGTGGGATGAAGTTGCCAACGGGCGGAGTAGGTATTTGGAAGACGTCTTCGTCCTGCCTCTTGGCCTGCTTCTTCGGTGGGAGCGCCAGGGCAGTCTTGAGGAACTCGAGAAAGGAGGTTTTGCCAGCATTTTGGCTTCCTAGAATGAGAATGCTAGTGGGCTGGTTAGTTTACTTGGATTTTGAGGTCTAATCAAATGAAAGGGAGACGGGAAGCAAAGTAGCAACTGTACTGCGGCTTACTTGAATGGTGTCGGGTCCTTTCGTCGGCGGATCCTCCGTGGATTGTTAATCGTGCTCATAGCGCTGCTGCTGGCATAGCTGTAACGGCCACGGTTCGTCATGCTCTCCGATCTAGCATATGGGTCAAAGGCATTGCTGTGAATGGGAGGGATCGGGATGTTGGCGGGAACGGCGCGAGCAGGCTCTGCAGAGGAGCGGCTGGACGATTCGCGGCCGGAACGGCTGCTTGGGATGACGGAACTCGACTGCAATTCGGGTGCGAAAGACTTCGAAAGCTGTTCGGCGCCGCTGAAAAACTCTGGAAGCTTGGGAGCAGCTCGCGGAGTGGGTTGGTGCTGGCGATCGGGCTCGGCTTGGGCCTTTCTATTGCCCTTGCCCAAATCACCACTTTTTGTTCGCTTGAGAAGCATTCCGAAACTAGAAGAACGACGAGGCGAACTCATTGTTTAGCCAGCGACAGATTGCTGGATAAGGCTCGTTAAAAAATGAAATGGGAGAGCCGTTGCTTAGCCGATCTGTTGTTGCAATGAACGAGATCGGGTATTGTGTCGCAGCGATGATGACGACGGAAGCGGACGTTTGGTCGGATATGATCAACCTCTGAAACGCCGGATTGGATGAGGTAAGATTTAGGAGATTCCTGCTCAACTCCAGGGTCAGAAAAGAAAGAAATCCGAAAGTGACTTTGATGATTTGTTTGCCGCCTTGGTTTCTGGTGCGCCAGTGACGCACTAAGAAAGTCGCAGAGGCGCAAGTCAAAGCAAACACGAGGCGCTAGACGTTGCCGGTACGAAAGAGAAAAGATGCCATACCCAAATTTCCAAATGCCAATGCAAGTCTAATGCATCAGCTACGTAGGCAGAGAGGCGGGGAGGCGGGGCTTCTGCAGCGGAGACGATTCCAATTCGATGGCAATTTGTCACTAGATGGTAAAAGGAGGCGATTAGCATCCATTCAGAAACACAATGTCAGGGTTCTGGTTGCCAGCCGACGCGTTGGGGGCGCCAAAAGAGTCGACAGCTGCAGAATCATGCGGCCGGGAGCTTGCGGGTAATAATTGAGACAGCCCACGAGTGCCATCTTGCGATTGTCTCCAGGCTCAAGCTTGAGCAACCCGAGGCCTCGTCGCTCAAAAAACTGCGCTATGCTTCCATCTCTGATTCTGCATTTGACATTGTCGCATTGCTGGAGAGAACGAGATTGACGCACGCAAGGCTGAACGAGCTTGTTGCAACTTGCAGCCGGCCAATGCCGTCACCAGCGCAACGCCACTCCACGATCGCCCTGCAGAAGCAAAAATGAAAGCAAGACATGAGCCTGGTCGCTGAACTCTGCTTCGACCTCGTAGCAACAGTGTTTTGGCGATTGGCGATGTTTTCGCACAGGATGGCGGTGATGGGAGCCAATGGAAGAGAGAAGAAAGGATAAGAGACCAGGAAGAACCATTCTCGTTACTCACAATTGCGTTATTGGATGAGTCGTTGTTTGAAAGGGCTTGTTGCTCTTTTTTATTGTTTTTGGGCGATTTTGTAATTGTGTCTTTTTTTCTTGGTCCAGCCGAGACGCGGGGAAGATGGTCAAGTTGATCGTGGCGAATCGCAGGTGGTTTGCGGGCTCCTGCCTTGACTCGGATTGAGAAAGGAAAATGGAAAGAGAGGCAACAGGGCCGGGGGTTTTGCTGGAGCTTCGACACCGCTTTGACTCAGCTCGTGAACTTGCCCAAAGCTTTTGCGGTACAGTATCACCAGGGCCAGGGTCGCGGCTTACAGCCTCTTCGGACGGATGTCACAGCGGTAACGAGCGAGAAAAAAAAAATAACAACAAGGACTGTCGGCAGCGTCAAGCGCCGAAGAAGCCAGGGGAGAAGGAAGAGGTCGTGGCGATGGCAAGGAAAGGAAAGCGAGCGAGCGAGCGAGGATTCGACACTCTGGGAGAAAAGCGTTGACAGAGGAGGGAGAGGGAGAGGGAGCGCGCATCGGCCTCGACAGCTTGCGCGTTTGTCCTCGCTCGTCTCTGGCTTGCACCAGCTCTTGGGCTTCAGGGGAGCCACCCAAGTGCTTGTTGGAGCGCCAATCGAGGTCCTACATTCGTGATGCTAGGTGACCCCCCGGCCCCATTCGCCTCTCCACAAGCCCATCTGACCAGGCCTGGCCGGGCCATCATGTCATGGCGATTGCAAGTCTCCTGCTGGCCAAAGCTGCGATCCCTGGCGAGCATGAAACACGGCATCTAAGGCTCCCTAGCAGATTCTTGATTCAACGCGATGCCTCGAGATCTTAGCCACGGCGCACGGACAAAGAGACCTCTACAAGGCGGCATCTACATACAGTAGTATCTTGGTTTCGTTGGCTGCAGATTTGGCCGCACACCCATTGCGCGCACAGGCTGGTTTGCCCACGGACATGGGGGGGTTTTGCAAGGTACTCACTCGTACGGAGCATGAAGCATTAAATAAGTATTACCGAACACGAAATGCTGTCACCTACCACTACTCGTACACGTACTTGTACAGGTCGTACCGAGCCGAGTGCTAAGTGCCAATAGCACATCAATTTCTGCAGGCTTGGGCTTGGCTCCAGGATGTACTTGGATTATATGCCTTGCTTGCCCGCATACACATCAGACGGGGGTCATTGGCTTGCGACACACTTGCATCCTCCGCACACCTCACATGCACCCCTCAAATGAGATGTCCTTGAAACCAGCAAGGAGCAGGCTAATTAACGATGCAAGTACGAGTACAGTATGCCCTCCCAAAAGATGATGGGATGAAGCAAAAATGGAATGGAATATTCTCAATGGCGGTGATTGCTCGGCGGCGATTTCAATACCATGTCGGATCTGTCCTGGGGCCTGAAGCATCCAAAAAGCCGGTCCTGTTTGCACGAGCTGTTGATTGAGAGAAGCTGGAACAACAAGCCAAGCCTCATCGCGGAGCTTTGCCCATTTCTTGGCACCAACTCCAGCTCATCCCCTTGCGATCCCTGCAAGCGTTTAAATTGCAGGTCCGCTGCGATTCGCCATTCAACTCGTCACGCTACTGGAGCACCAATCATGCCTCGCTATTGGTTCCATTGGCGTCTTCTCGCGTGGGAAACATGAAACCAGCTTCAACAAGGCGCCACGGAGCCCGCCAGCTAGCCACAGGGCGAGGCTGGCGCTAGATCCAATAGAACAATGGAGACAAGAAGGTATTTCATAAGTACGGAGCAAGTGATGTCTTGAATTACTCGTGCTCAGCAGCTCTTTACGAGCGTCATACTGACTTGTGGACGAGCAAAGTCAAGATGATGGCAACAGCATCTGCAGATGCTGCCAGTCTGACTACATTTGTACAATCCGCCACGCGGTACGAGTATGGAGTAACACACAGCATCAAAACGAATATGGGCAACCAGCATCACCATCACACGCAGACATGGCAAGCAAGAAGAGCTGCCTGTTGCCGCCTCAATGAGTGGTATATCGTCTATAATCGTAACATGTATGAATACATACACCAGGCTGACTGGGGATTCCGAATGCCAACCGCTCTTTTGTCCTTCTTTTTTTCCCTCTATAAGAATCAATGCGGTCCAACGCCTCTACCAAATATGTCGTGGTGCACAGAACGTGGAAATGAAACAATGGACCATCAATATGTTACGGTCGCTCTCTTCAGCCTTCGAATACCTCGTGCTGCAGCTCGATGCCGTACTCGTGCGCCATATTCTTCATACGACGCTCCATCTCATCTTCCATCCCGCCGCCCAGACCAAGGAGCTGTCGCAGCTTGAAAAAGTAAAAGGCAACGTCTGTCAGCGCCATGACAGACTTGAATATGATGTGCCGCCATGCATTGTCCAGGCGCTGCATCCAGGGGAGGTTTGGGTCCTCGTAGAGGCTGCGGCTTGCCCATTCGCCCATCATCTTGATGCGGTTGACGGGCGAGCCCAAGTATTGATTGTTGCCCTGGACGATGCGCATGTTGCGGCCTATGAAGATGAGCTCCTTGGGCCACTTGTCCTCGTCAGCAAGAATGTCGCGGATACCCTGCTTCATCTTCTGCTGCATATAGTAGTGTCGCTCCGCCGGGCTGAGACCTTCCATCGCCTTGATGTCGTTCTGCATGGTGGACTCGCCGCCCTCGTACGGCTTCATCAGTGTCGCACTCGCAAACATGTCTGCTGCCTTGATACCCCACTGTTCTGTGACATCGACAACGGTCTGGTTATCAAACGTCATGAGGGCTTTCCAGAACCTACCGTACTGATGGCGGAACTTGGGCGACATGTACACATAGAGGCCGTGGTCGATCAAAACCAGCTCCGAGCGGCCGCTGGGGAGACGTCGGATGAAGATGTTTCCCGGATGAGGGTCGCAGTGGACGACGCCCCATTTGAAGATTTGGGCAGAGAAGAGGTCTACCATGGTGGTCATGACTTCTTTGGTGGTCAGGCCAAGGCCTCCTCTTCCACGAACACCCTTCCACTCCTGGCGCTCCGGCTTGATCTTTTCCTGGTAGGGCTTTGTACGAAGCTCATGGCGGACAAGGTCCATATCAAGCGACGGCAAGGGAGTGCCCGCTCCTGGGCTGCCTTTTCCGTATCCGCCCAGCCATCTCGACGTCATGGCTTTCTTGTCCCACAGCCTAATGCCCTCTATCCATTCCGTTGTCAAGACTCGCTTCGTGGTGAGGTCGGGATACACCGTGGGGATGTAGACACGCCCTTTCAGGCGGCTCTCCGAATTAACCAGCTCCCGCATCGTTTCTGAATTTCTTGCCTCGCACAAGAAGTCGGTCTCCAGCTCTAGGCGCTCGGAGATGAAGGGTACCAAGGTGTAGAGGGGTAGGTCAAACCATCTTGAAAAGATCCAGGTAACGGTCCTGGTTGATTACACAGTCAACACCAGAATCTTGTAATTGGATAGAAGCTACCCGGAGACAAGAAACAACTCACTTGAAAGTCCATAGATCCCATGAAATCTGAAGAGCGATTTCAGGCTTCTGGATCTTGATTGCAACCTCTCTACCATCAGGGAGCCTTGCCCAGTGAACTTGGGCGACACTTGCGCTCGCGCGAGCTTTCCTCTCCATGACTCCGTAGCCCTCTTTTCCGGTGAAGCTGACACCGAAGACTTCCTCGACACTCTTGCCAAAGTCTTGTCGGATAACCGCCTCTACGGCTTTCCAATCGTCCTGTGGCGCATCGTCAAACATTCTACCAAACATCTTTTGGAATTCGGGCGGCAGCACCGCGCTCTGCATAGCAATGGCTTGGCCGATCTTGAGGTACAGCCCGCCGTTTTGTCGCAGCAGGTGAAAGAGTCGTTCCGCGTTGCGCATATGGAGATCAGGCACGGTTCCCCCAACCCACGGCTCCGGTCGGAAATTGATCTTGTAGTCGAGGGCAGCGACCAGCGCGGTGCCAAACGTTCGAAGCGATCGCCCAATGCTGGAGGCGTAGACATTTCGGTCTACGACATAGATGGTACCGCCAACCGCGGCCGTGATGAGAAGTCGGCGTCCCCATTTCCGGCTCCCTTTGTACTGCTTGGCCGCCCGCGGAGCCCCCAAGGATGCAGGAGACGGCGGCCGAAGAGGCTGGAATGGCCCCGAGTTCTGGATGCGCCGAACGAAGACGTCATGCCGAGAGGGCACGCGACTTCGCAGCAGAGCTTGTCTGGGGAGGCCCAGGCCGCTGCGACAAAGCGTGCCGAGCATTGTCGAGGATGGATAGCTTTACCGCGGCGTCATTCGGAGAGAAGAAGAAGAACAAGGACTCGGGCGAGGTTGGATGATGGAAGCTGCCGGCGAGTGTTTGGTGGGATGGTGGCGGGCAGCTTGGATAATTTCCCCGGCATATTGTGGCTCCCGGATCTCCGATCGGTGCCGACTAAGAGGTTGCTCCGAGGTTTGGCCAGTTGAGGATTACATCTCAGTATGGACGCGATATAATCTTGATGCAGGAGAAAGGGAATGATTAGATTTGTTTGGGCAGCTTTTTATTTGTTCTTGTCCTTAAATGCCTTTGGTATGCAGTGATGTTCCTGCTACATAAACATTGAGATGATTCTTGCAAACGTGCCTAGCGGGATACTATGGAAATTCATATCAAGGAGCACTACAGGTCAATACTACAACGTAGATCTATATATCGCATCAGACGAAACAATAGCTTGGCAAGAGAGACAAACAATGAGTTTCCAAGTCAACGTAAGGAAACATGTGATTTTCGTACGAAGCAGTCCGTCTTCATCTTTTGACCTCGTCAAGATGCTTGATAATCTAGGGTATGCTGGTCATTAACCTGTGTGGTGACGACATCTCGCACTGCACGAGATAAAGCGATAAGATACTAGTAGGTAGATAGCACGGCTCCCACTTCGTGTTTAAGGATACGAGTACGAGTCAAAACCATGCGGGGAAGAGTCAAGAGGGAAGGTGCAGTAGGTACCAGAGTATTTTGGCACAATGGAAGTTGACGATGCGTTCTTGCGTCATCTATGTGTTTACACGAATTCTGCACTACGGAAATTCGGCCTCGAACCTGCACGATGTTATGCGCTTACAAGATCCTTTGAGGGTGAATACTCGTAGAATCACCACTGCTACCGAGTTTGATCTGGGCTATTTGACTTTGCCCTTTTCCGACTAGCATCAAGCGAGCGACACGGAGCAGACCCATCCGCTATCCGCACAACAGGGGGCCCGTTTCGAGGCAACGAGATTTGGAGCAGTGGCGAAACTCAGAGTGCTTGACCTCTGAAGGAGAACCCTCTGGTTTGCTGGTCGGGATACGCTGGTGGAATGCCCACGCCGACGTCGTGATTGTGTGGGATGGCCAGAATCCTTGTTTTCCATGTCGCGGCGAAGCGCCTGATCTGCCGTGATGGTACTTGTACTCGTACAGTGGTGTCTTTTGCAGTGACAATCCCCTGCCGCCCAATTTTAGCAATCAACCAAGTACTGGAGCCGACCTGCTCGAAACGGCCAAGCAGTTTCTGTCCTTATCAGAAGCCCACCTCTGCCCGAACCACACAAATCCAGTTTGACGGTCACTCTCTCCCTCTGCTAACGGACCCGTACTCCGCAAGTGTACTCGTAAAAGCAGCATGCAAAACTCTCTGCTGCTAGCTGGGGCTTTTTGGCGGATGACATGCTGCGCAACACTTTCGATAGCGCGGCCCCAAAAAGCCCATGGATGGATGGACTGCCCGTCTTTGCAGAGGCTCAGGCACGGGGAAAATCTGCGGTGGCGCCTCATGGGACCTGCAGCATAATTGTGGGTCGAGCGAGACACCGGGCAGGAAAATCACTGGAGCCGTGGCCCAGTTCTTACAGCGATGTTAGCGGGCAGCACCACTAAATTACGGGGGGACAAGGCCAGGAACGCGTAACAGCAAAACAACCTACACTGAACATGTGAGGTGAATGCGACGGGACTTGGAGATTGCCATCAATGGATCAATCCATAAATGATTGCACGATCAAGCTTGTCCCAATCCTCCACTGTAACTGAACTCTGTGCGCCGTGAGATAAGAATTGATTGACTCGAATTGCACAACAGACGGTTGAGGTGGAATTTTATAATTAGATTTCTAGTGCTGCAAAATGCTCGTTTTCCCAACGCCACGGCTTGTTGCATCTCGTATTGCCTCGTCCAGCTTCGCATTAAGATTTGCGCCTCCAACTCAATTTCACTCCCTTGGAGGCTGCATCAAATTCATCTCAACAGGCACAGGCACACTCAGGCACATCAATGTACTGGCCGCTGCTAAATTGCGTGCAGCGTTACATGGAAGACTCTTGCGTGCGCCAGAGGGTCAGCGCTATGCTCAACCGGGGCCTAGCAGCCGCGAACGGCCTGTGGATTCACTGGACTCCAAGGTTGTCTGGGCTCCTTGTGGGGGGGTCCTTCGGTTGGCTGTGATGCGCTAAATGCACTACGAGACCGGCACCTTAGCGCTGCAGCCATCGACGTTTAGCCGTGCTGTGGGCGCTCTCTCGGTGCTGTCTCTCATTGAACGCTCGATGTTGATGCTTCTGGACTGGGGACCGGAGACAGGCTCTCCACCCCCCTCCGGCATCATCACCAATTTTGATCTCTTCCCCTTCCCAACGCTCCTTGTTTGCTTGCTGCAAGACCTCGCAAATCTCAATTCCCAACCCAGACGGCGGGTCCACCTGGTGCAAACACCAAATCTGAGCGCCGCACAGGTCTAAACCTCACTCTTTCCCCCCTCCCTCGCCCAGTCCAGCTCCTTTGGCTCTGGTTGAGCAATTCGACGGCCATTCTCTTGCTCCTCTTCCTTTTTTGTCGTCGCCGAATCGCCCATTACCATTACTGCCTTGGTACTATTACTACCGGTCGAGCTTTGTTCTGGATCATGTGGAGGACAACAACAACAACCCAGTGACGCTTCTTTGGGGGGCCCATTCGTTCATTCAGCCAATTCGCGCACAAGACGCAACAACGACGACATTAAATCCTCTTTGTCTCTTTGTCTCTCTCTCTCTGAATTCACGCCATTCTTTCGCCTTTTCTTCTACTTCTCCGGTACTCGAGTCAATCCCAAAGTCTTTGCGCTGCTGTCGAGTCTTGCTTCTCTCCCTCGCCTCGCGTCGCCTAGTCGACGGTTGCTGTAGCTGGGTTCTTTTCTGTCCACCGCCAGCATGCTGCGACCGGCGACGCCCTTGACAGTCCTGCTTGGCCTCGCCTTTGCTTTGCTGCTCCTCTCGGTGCTGTCAGCCCCCATCATCTCGGCCATTCCTCTCGGTAGCTTTGAAGATGTCCAGTTTGGCGTCTTTGGTTTCTGCCGGTCTTCGGGCTGCAGCAGCGTTGGCATCGGTTATGACATTGGTGAGAATATTCGCGATTGCCTGCCTCCCCCCTACTTGCCCCTGCTCCTCCCATCCTCCCCCCCCACAACTGTCGCGAACAGTTGGCTGTACTGGTAATCAAAACAATGTCATAGCAGCTAACAAAACATGTGCGAATAGGCAGCGTGATTCCCAACCAAAAGAATTCGGCCTTTGATCTGCCGAGTGGTGTTCGCCATACGCTCTCCTCCATCTTGATTCTTCACCCTGTTGCCGCGTTCCTTACCCTGGTCATGCTCTTCATGGCCATTGCTGCCCACTTCCGCGCCGCCTCTCATTCGTCGAGGTATCTGCTCTTCTTCTTCATTTTTAATTTCATCACCCTTCTCGTCTGCATCGCCGCTTTCGTCATCGATGTCTTGCTCTTCATTCCTCACATGGCGTGGGGCACCTACATTGTCCTCGCCGGCACCATCTTGGTCTTCCTGAGTGCCCTGGTCTCTTGCGCCATGCGACGTACTCTGGTAAGCAGAAAAGACCGAAAGAGGAGGATTGCGGAGAATGCAGAGATGAGTGGTGAAAACTACTACAACCGGGAGAACCAGGTGCCAAAGGCCAGCTTCACCATGACAACCCAGCCCACGGTGCCAACCGTTAGCGGTGGAAGCGGCACCCAAGACACTTTGCCTGCATTCGCCACATACGAGACTCCGAGAGACGACCAGCAGAGCGAGGAACGCATTCCTCTGACGCAGCGAACCACGTCTGAGAGGTCATCCAATGGAAGGCAACCCGCGGCCGTCGATATGGCCGCCGTCGCAGGCAGCGAAATCAGCGGTGGCTATGGCGCAGGCGGAATACAGCGATCGGCAACGCAGGATTCGTACACTAATTATGGCAACATGCCTCCCAACGCCTACGGAGCGGCTGGCCAGCCGTATGATGGCCGCCGGGGCCCCGCCAGACGAGAAACAGACCCCGTGAACGGCTACGGCGGTGGTCGTGGGGGCTACGGAGCTCCCATGAGAGGACGAGGAGGCTACGGCCCTGCCGGTCGAGGTGGATACGGTCCGCGTGGTGGACGAGGAGGATACGGACCGCCATCTCGTGCCGGCTATGGTGGTGGCCCTTACTACAACGGAGGCGGAGCACGTAGTCCGCCACCGATGAATTATTCTTCTGACGATATGGGCAGCCAGTACAGCAACAGGCGGCAGCCTCCGCCGCGACAAGGATTTGCAGATGGTCGAGGGGGACCTTATGGCGGTGCGCAGCAGCCACCACAATCAGACGCTGCCACAAACTATGGCGCACCGAGTGGTACTGCTAGCAACAGCGGCAGCAACAGCGGCAGCAACAGATATGTGCCGTACCGCCCAGATCTCGACTTGCCTAGGGCAGAATCACCTCCACCGCTACCAGAAGCCACCGAGTCTGCTGTTTCATCGGTTGGGCAAGCCATAGAGATGGACGCGACGCCGGCTGCCGGGGTTAGCAACAATGGAGGCCAGTATGGCAACCTCGGGGAGAGCGACCCAGATGTTGTCGGAATGGTTCACCTCCAGCAGGACCAGCCGCCTTCATCTGCGCGGAGAGAGACGTTTGCCAGCGACGGGAGCAAATATTCCCAAGACGAGTATGCATCGCCCCTTGACTACATCCCCTACCCCTGGATTTTACTAACCATGTCCAACAACATAGGCAATACGTCCCATCTCGTGCCCAGTGGAACCAAGAGGGTGGAAGAAATTCGCCTCTTGTAGCGCCTCTAGCCAACGCGCAGCGCGACCCTACCCCTGATCACTCCAGAAGCCCTGCACCATCGGCAACCGGTATTAAGGACAAGGGAACCTATTATGAAGATGTCGACCCTCGCTTCGATCAGACACCTCGTACACCGCCGCGACGTCAAACACCGCCACCGCTACATATCCAGGAAGCCGGCTACGACGATGTGCGAGGTGGTCCTGATGGGACTCGCAGCCCTGCTGAGTCGGAGCACTCCAACTTCACATCCATCTCGCAGCGTGGTATCAACCCTCAGTGGAGCCCACAGCCTCCAATGCCCCAACGCCGACCAGTACAGCAGCGCCATGACATGATTCTGGACAATCCCGACTTTAGACTTCCCGGTGGTCGATCGGCCGCAGCGGGAAATCGAAGAATTCCGGGGATGATTCCTGAGAGCGCGTATCCGAACCCGAGTCGCCCAATGTAGTGTGGTACAAGCTGTCAACCTCTTCTCTCTCTCCTTGACGACAACGTCGCTTTTGAGCACTTCGATTTTATTCATGCAAAGTTAGATGGACCCGGCGATGGGCTCGCCGCTGCTGCATTCCTTCCTCTTTTCTTCTCTTTTTCGACGTTTTCCTTATCTTCTTCTCACATAGTTACACTCAGCCTTTTGGGTGATTATACTCTTTGGTTGCAACTTCAATATTTAGTGTGATCCTCGAATATTCGTCCTGATGATGGCTTTTCTTTTTTGCCTGATCTACCTCTCTATACGGCATACCTCATGGCGCTTGCACCTTGGAGGGCTAGCTATACACAGCTATCGATGCGCCATTCTTGACCGCGTTTCATTTATATGTACATTGCGATGCTCTAATCGAACCGGAGAGAGGAGTGAGTCACTATTCTTGGTCACGATGATGCAACGGATGACCCGCTTTATGGGATGCGGACGGTCTCGGCCCTGAGACCAGAAGATTGGCTTTTGCTACAAGATTTGGCTATCTTTGCCATAGGCTTCGTTTCACTTTTTGTTTTCTCTTTCTTTTCATGTTTGATAATTCGGGAAGGCGTGTCTTGATCATACCCAGGGTGGATTTACCAGGAATGAATTAAAAAAAGCATCAAGACCTGCGAGGCTTGCTTTTCTCTGTTGGCATTGGACATGTTATGTAGGCCGTGCGGCTATAGGATACGATAAGGTAGTGGGCAGATGAAGAATAATATTGACGTATACATGATTTGTCACTTGGGCTGAGCGCCTATCTTTTGTACTCTGCTACCTATGCTACTGATCCATTACCAAACTCTGCGCAGCCATCATGTGTGCCTAGGTGGGGACAGGCAAGGTTCACTGCCGGAGCAATTGACATTGAAGAGTACAATCAGCAATATATCGCAGAAATGGCTGGTGAAGAGCGTCATGGGGGGCTCTGTAGCACTCAGCTACCTTGGTAGTTGAGTCCTTCTGGGCCGGGAAGTCGAACGGGCCCCATTCACTGACGATGCCTTATGGAGCGCAGAGGACGCAGGGCTACTCAACTGGCTACGTGTGCTCGGATTTTGAGTTTGGATTACAAGTCGTCGAGATCACTTTTGGCGGCTGTCCCTTTGTTTGACCCGCCGGCTTCACTTTGGCTTCACTTCACTGGATGTTGCCCCCCTTCCCCCCATTATCCTTCTCTCTCTCTCTCTTTTTTTTTTCTTGGGAGCGGCCCATCTTCGTCACATTTGCTCCGCTGCTGTGTTTCTTTTTTTCTTCGTCTTCATCTTCTTCGACCGTCTTCTTTCTTCTTGGAAAGCTGAAGATCTCTCTCTCGATCTCCCCGTCAAAGCGATTCCTCTTGGAAATCACAGGTAAGCCAACTTGACCGATGGTGTATCTATACTTTTTGCAATGTCACTTCTCCTATTCTTGCTCGCCGTGTGTCGTTTGTGGAGGGAAGGAGCACCCAGAAATTTGTGCCTCAGGACTTCACTCCTCGATTTGCCCATCACTTGCCTCTCTTTCCCTCTCCCTCTCCCCTCGCTCTCGCTTCGCCGATTTTTTTCTCTTCTCCTTTTTCTTTCTCAAATCATCCTCGTCCCTCCTTCGCCCTCTTCTCTTCTTCGCCTTCTCTGGTGATCTACTGGATTGCCGGGATTTCTTGCATCTTTTCTCGTTGAGCCTTTCCTTTCCACCTCACGGTTGTTTCATTGGACACTTTGAGAGCAAGGTCAAGATCTTGGAGAGAAAGCAGGCTTTGGTCAATCAGCTGCCTGTCCGAATCTATCGATAAAGTGAAAGTGGCCGCAGCTTGGTTGGACTTGGGCTCGTCCTTCTTGGCCTTGAATCGTATATCCAACCCATTCCTTTCCCCCGTTCATCACTCTCTGCCGATTTTGGAGCTCACCATCGACGCTCCATCTCCAGAGAGATGTCACGAAATTATACTTTTCCGTCTCTCGCTTGATTCGCTTCGCAGCTAACATGGACCTTCCCTTAGTTTGCAATTTCTATCGCACTTTACCTCCTCTCATCTTCGCCAGGTAGTAGTTCATCAGTATGACACAGACTATGGAGCCGTGTGGACCAGCGGACGACGAAGAAGCTTCTTACCAGACTTTCTCCTCAGCCTCGTCTCAGCCCACCTATACAACTGCGGGGACCATCTACAATCCCAACTCTTCGCAGCGGCTCCAGCCCCCCGCTCGCCGTGGCCGCTTGCTCAAATTGAATTCCGAAGCCAGCGGGTTCCCTCTTGATGCCACCAAGTTTAGCACGCCCAGAACTATGCTCCCCGACGCACAGTCAAGACCTGACACCAGCGTCAAAGTGCCAGCCGCCACAGCCATCCCGCAGTATAGCCCTCTACAGCAAAACTATGATCGCGCAGTTAGCCCTGTTGTTAGCCCGCTCCAAGAACCCAGAATGTCATCTCAGGGCCTCAGACGGCATAACACGTCCCTCCTTGCCAGAGATGGCTCGCCACCACTCTCCCTCTTTGATAATGGCAAGGGGAAGGCGGTCGCCATCAACAACGACAGCTCTAGTGATGATGAGGACGATATCGTCAACAGTGCCCTCATGAACATGACTGTCAAATCTCTTCAGAACCTGGCTTCGTATCCGAACCCGAACCAAAAGAACGCTCAGAAGGCGCTCCTTCGGGGGACAAGACCAAAGGCCGGCGGCAGCCTAGGCGGCGGCCCATCTAGGCTGAGCACCCCTTTCATATACCGCAACGAGAGCAGTCAAGGCGGAGCACGGATCTCCTCAAGTGAAGAAGTCTCAATGGGACTCAGGCCTATTCTATCGGAACCCGGCATTCTGTACCAGAGAACCCAGGACAGTCGATGGAGGTCTCGAAAGATGGCATCCGAAGCTGGGGCAAGTGGTACCTATCACGGCGCCCTCGAATCGCGGCTTTCGACCCCCTCTACAAACAGCGACAACACAGATCCCAATTCGTTGGCGTCCATGCATCTCGCCACAGGCCCAGGTGCGCCCAAACCCTTGACTGCCGGGCCTCCCGGACAACGCCAGTATCGTCCTTCAACGTTTGAGTCGACATTCAAAGCACTCACGACTCGATCGGCAGCCTCTCAAGGTTTTATCGCCGAAGCTGACGACGACCGTCCTTCATTTGCTTTCAAGGTTTTCAACACCGTGCCATCGACTCCTCAAGAGTCCGTGGCAGAAGATGAAGAATACATGTCGGCTCCTGAATCGTCATTCAGAGCGTCCAACACCATGCCGGCACTTTCACAGAGCCCACTCGCTGAGTATGAGGAGAACCCGATGATTTCTCCCGACACTCTGCTGTACTTGACCATCAACTCTGACCCCGACTGCACCGCTGAGTATGCTTGCGGGTGTACCTGTCAAGTTTGTGAGAAGGCAGGAGCAAGCACTGCAAACTCTGGTGCCCAGAGACAAGGCTACTCCGGTTCAGTTGACCCGGATACCTCATGGAACCACCCCCCCGGAATGTACCGTGCCCATGAAGAACGGGACGAGCCCACGGGCCCAATGTTTCCCCAGTCAATGGGATATCCAGGACGCTTGACCGCTAGGGAGATTCAAGAGCACAATTGGCGACTCAACGTTATGTGGTATGCAGGAACCGGTTTACTGGGAGACATTGATGCGGCACAAGTGCTCTCCCGGCCTGCTAGCCATAATGTTAGCCCACCAGTGACAAGGAATATTTACGGCGCAGTGGGCCAGGGCCGTCCCAGCCGAACTGGACAGGAAAGGCCCGCTGCTCAAGGAAACGCTACTTGGCCATCAAGAAGCATGTCATTGAAGTCTGTCGACAGCGACGTTACGAACGGCCTCGCGCTTTTGGACCATGTCTTGAGCAGGGCTGCCTGATTGTTAGCAAGGGGATGGGGACTTGGTATAAAGATTACCAGATAGATGCGGATCAGTTGCGGCAGGTTATGGTTATGGTTATGATTGCGCATTTTTGGCATCGGAAAGCTTATTTAATTACTTTACTTCTCTCTTTTCTTTTTTAATTTCCTTTTCCCGAGGGTTGGATGAAAAGGATCAAGGCTGGAGAGTCGGTTCGTGAAAAGGAAAACGGAACGATGGGATGAGTCCATGCCATGGAGATCCTAGAACATTAGTTTAACAGGTCGATTAACCAATCATAATAGTATTACGGCGTTGTTGTCATTCGAGTGGATTCCAGCGTGTTTTCTTATCCATGGATTCTTATTTCCTAGGTAGGCATATGCTGGCAGGCTTTTCCGAAAATTCGGGACAGCAATGACCGCGGAGTAGCATTACTAAATGCTATATGGACCCAGCGACTGCCGAGCGGGCCAATGGGGGCGGTTCAAGACGGATTGATTCCAAAGCGCGCGGCCGATTTGGTGTGCATCGAACCATACGATGAGAACGGGACCGCAAGGTTGAAAATCTATAAGGGGAATACGGCCCGTGGCTTGTTAAACCTCCGGCCAGGGCCATTGTCTTTTCTGGGCATTCTATCGATGAATCGGGCAACGAAGCAGTGGAACTACTGGGATTGAGGGCCTCCGTGAATCACTGGCACGACGGTATAAAGAAAAGATGGTTTCCCGCTTTGTGGCGGCGCAGACGGGCTGAAGCTAGCTGGGGACCTTATTTTCTTTGGTGCCTGTCATTCTTCCAAGGAGGGGAGGGAAGAAGCGAACCCGCGTCCTGCTTCTCTTGCTTCCCTTTTCCTTTTCCTTTCTTCAAAAACGGGAGGGCGGCTGAGGCATCATGACGGCCGCGCACGGCGTCATTGCGATTCTGGAGTCGACGTATAACAGCCTGGATCTGGATAGTATTCTGAGCTTGTATGCGGACGACGCCAAATTGACGGCTCACTGTGAGTTTCCGTCTCATTTTTTGGGCAAATAGTTGGATTTGTGCAAGAGGTTTTTTTTAATTTCATTTTTGGCAGGCTGGTGGATGATCGATGGTCGGAGTGGATTGGATTAGCTGACCTTTTTGTGTTGCTCAAGTATTCGAGCTAGTGGGGTTGGACAAGGTGCAGATTCGGGCGTTTTACGCCGACCTCTTCGAGTCGAATGGCGACATCGAATTCGTAACGCGGTCTATCAGTGGGACGCCAGACTTGGTCATCTGGGAGTGCGACGTGCGGTGCACGGCGAGAAAGAGCTCGCCTGCCTTGGGGATCGCGAGGGGAGATGCCGTGCTGATGAGGGGGGTGTCGCTGCTGACCTGGCGAGACGGGCTGATTGCGGAGCAGAAGGATTATTTCCATGTTGCGAGGAAGAGTTAGTGGGAAGAGAGGCAGCGATGGAAACAGAAGCATTTTCACTGTGCCTCGAGGGAAATGAAGAAAGAAATGGGGCATGATGGCCGAGCGGGATCCAAAGGCCTCCGAGGTGAAGCTTTTTCTTCAAGCCGCTGCTGAACGCCATTCGCACGGGTCATGCTGCCTTTATCCCGTCCATCAACTATAGACACTAGAGATACCTTGGCATTGAACTCGTGGGGTGAAAAGGTCCCCTGGAACGAAAGCGTCTTCCGAAGCCGTTTAGATTCGGGACAAGAGCGACGATGTGGTGACAATCTATTGTACCCGCTTCGGCTCTGGGGTTCTGTCGAGCGCGTGAATGGCTTCGAGGGATACGCTGGCGCGCAGAGAGAGCAAAGATGTCAGGGTACGAGTCTAGCTAGCCGAGCTCACGTTGGACGAGATACATAACGAGAAGAATGAATCCATTTTCCGTTAATGTGGACGGGGGAAATTGACTTGAATTACGATCCAGGTAGCGATCTCGGATAGTCCTGGTGTCCTGGTGTCTCACGAGTGCCGGCGGCCGTTGTAAGCAGCAGGAGCCGTGCGGTAGTTGCGACTTATTCTGGACGATTGAACAACATGGAAGGCACATAATATGGAGTATCACGGTGATGGCCACCTATAGAGGTTGATTAAAAGAGGGTGGCAAATTGTATTAGCACAATCGCCAATCACGTCTTCCCATCGTCGACTGGGGGACCTGAATTACAGGTGAGGATGTATACAAAATGAAAACCCCCCCCTGGAAAGACATGGACCAACGGTATCCCAAAAAGTCACCGATATCATCACAATATAGCTGATGGGTTGCGGTATTAAAGGAGAGAACTTGGCATCTCTCTACTACAAAGAAGATTATTTGCTTTGTCTGCAGCGGATGATACACGTGTGTTACTGTGCTGATTCAATGATAGTTGGTCTCTTTAAGAGGGGATCGAGAGATGCTCTACGTAGCAACTGCGAGACGCGCAGCAATGACGTCAAGGATAATAACTTCCTGATAACAATTTAGCTCTGAACACTCCATCAGAAGGAACGAACCACGAAGGATCAACCGACCGACTACCTACTACTAGATAGGTACATGTACCTTGGAAAAAGGAATCACAAGAGAGAAATCCGTGAGATAGCCAATGTTTTCTTGCTCTACGACCATCAAAAGCATTGTTACAAATGCTACCTGTATCTAACAATAGAGATATAGAGTTATAAACGGAGTTAGCATCGGCAGAGCCAATAACAATGTCCCGCAGCAGCTGCCAGAAGAGTTCCTCGCGAAGCATCAATACAATCAAGATTCACAGCCAATCTCCTTTCCTCGACGCTGCGCGCTAGCCCTCTTCTAGCCTCCCCAGAACGGACTAGGGCGCAACCACCTGCGAAATTGACGTCGGTGTTTGTGCGCCCAAAAAATCCTCGTGACAGCCTGTTTCTGCTTCCCGAGCAGCCATTACTTCATCCTGGTCGATTTCAAACTAACAACAGGACACGCGACTAGACCAAGGAAGACGGGTCTCTAGCCCAACTTTTGTTTTTCTCGCGAGCGTCACTGCCTCTCGCATTGATTCCTCTTTGCCGCAGCGACAGTCTGTATTGGAGTGAATTGGTCTTTTGCATCTTCCCAACATATCAAAGCCAAGCAAGCTCTCTCTTGCAAGCTTCGTGTCCACCCGATCTAAGCCGATGCAATCTTAATACCCAAACGACCGAGACCAAACGAAAACCGCGACGAGACGGCGTGTTGATCATTGCGACAGCGTGTGAAAGAACCAGAACCAGAACCAGAACCAGAAGAAGAAGAAGAAGAAGAAGCTCAACAGCAGGAAACATCCGGTCAAGATGGTCTACGTGCGGCAGCACAACCTCCCGGCCTTGAAGGAGTACAAGTACTCTGCCGTGGACCGGTCCCTGGTGTCGAAATATATTCTCAAGCCCTTCTACACCAATTTTGTCATCCACTGCTTCCCGATGAACATGGCGCCGAACCTCATCACCCTGACGGGGTTTTCGTTCGTCGTCGTCAACTTCTTGACCATGTTGTGGTACAACCCCACCCTGGATCAGGACTGCCCGAGCTGGGTCTACTACAGCTGGGCCATTGGTTTGCTGCTCTACCAGACATTTGACGCCGTTGACGGTGCTCAAGCGTGAGTCTTTTTTCCATTCCCAACGACATCAGGCGAGTCAAGGCAGCGGCAAAGACTAATGCGCGGGGGGCGAACCTTTGCAGACGACGAACGAAGCAATCCGGACCCCTCGGCGAGCTCTTTGACCACGGTGTCGACGCTCTAAACACGACTCTGGAAGTCCTCATCTTTGCCGCGTCCCAGAACATGGGACAGGGCTGGAAGACTGTGGCCACTCTTTTTGCTTGTGAGACTTTTCCTCTCTGCCCCTCTTCCACTTCCCCTCCATCAGTCCCACTCAAAACCTGCGAGGTGAATCAGAAGAGGGACAATCAGATGCTAATCGAGGTGACCAGCTCTCCTTACCTTTTACGTCCAGACCTGGGACGAGTACCACACCAAGACTCTTACTCTCGGTATTGTCAATGGACCCGTCGAGGGTGTGCTCATTGTTGCCTCCGTCTTCGCCCTGACCGGTTTCATGGGAGGCGCGCACATCTGGCAGCAGAGCGCCCTGCGCGCCATTGGCGTTCCCGCGTCTCTGGGCATTCCCGAGTTCATCTACGAGCTCACCTTTACCGAGTGGTACATGGTTCAGGGCACCATCGTGACCAGCTTCAACACTTTCGAGTCGTCCGTCAACGTCATCCGAGCTCGCCGTGCCCGAGGCGACCGTTCCCGCGGCGCCCTGCTTGGTCTTGTTCCGTTCTTCGCTGTCTGGGCCCTTATCGTTACGTATCTGTATCTGCAGCCGAATATCCTCCACCACCACCTGATTCCCTTTTCCCTCTTCGCCGGTCTCGTCAATGCCTACAGCGTCGGTCAGATGATCACCGCTCACCTTACCAAGATGCGTTTCCCCTACTGGAACGTCCTCGGCGTGCTCGTCGGCTTTGGTGTTGTTGATTCCATTGGCCCAGTCCTGCTGAACAACTACGGCTTTGGCTGGCCCAGCTCTCTGGGCGACGACATCTATCAAACCGCCTTTGTGTTCCTCATGCTTGGCACCGCGGTTGGTGTGTATGGAAGCTTTGTGGTGGATGTCATTGTTTCCATCTGCGATTATCTTGACATCTGGTGCTTGACGATCAAGCACCCCCATGTCGAGGCGGCTGTGTCGAAGCCCAACGGTATCAAGAGCCACTAAGGAATCATTCTCAACATTGTATAAACACCTTCATACCCAAACATGCTAGTTGGGTATGCTGTACAATGCGGCACCATGTGATTTGGCAGGGGAAATGGCAGGGGAAAATAGTTTCAAAAGGAGGCCAGCGGAGAGGGGAGTCGAGAAGGTCGAAGGAGGGAAAACAAATGAGAAGGAAAAGGCAAAAACTTTGTAACGCGATATGACGGATTATACAGACTATACAGGCAACAGGGCCTACATACGGAAGACAGATGAGGTGGATTTCTTACATAGACCGGTGGCGGACATTTTCTTCTCAGCACGAGGTTTAGACTTATCTGATGGTAGTTAGCTACTCACTTGAACTTTTTAAAACGACGGGCGTTTTCAGGATTCTTTCCTTTCCTTTGTCTTTCGTCTTTCATCTTTGACCTTTTCAATTGCGATAATCGTTTCTGCTTTTTTTTTCTTCTTTTTAAGAAAGAAAAAAGATAAGGAAGAGAATCGAAATTTTAGCCAAAAAAAATCGGTATGACTCCGATACTGGGAATCGAACCCAGGGCTGCTCGGCACACTTAATGAGAGCGAGCGATGTTAGCCACTACACCATATCGGATGTGTTGGTTGAATGATGTGACAGTTGGGACCAAAGTTACCTCAAGAACCTTTGGAAGAACCGTTTGGCTCATGGATGATCGGGGCGGTCCCCTTTTCTTTTCCTCTTCCTGTTCATGCCTGACATGTGCTTCATGCAACCTGCTGACGCCGAATATCCGCTGCTACTATGCCCAAACTCGCTTGGCTACCGTGACATGGATCCTTCCTTTCGGGCGGGTTCTTGGCCAATGCAAATCATCGTTTGGATAGAGACAAGGCACAAGGCACCAGCAGGCTACCGGAATCAAAGCAGCCGAGTCAGCAGGGCAGACTTGGATCCAGACCAAACCATCTCCAGCTCGTTCCTCTGAGAAAGGTACCAGGCCAATCTGACCCATGCCCATGCCATGCTGATCGCCGTATTAGTACTCGTTGTAGTTTAACAGCTCGCCCCCCCGCTCTCGAAGGATTCGGTCGGTCCCGGCTCAAAATAAACGTCCTTAGTCAGGACTGGCCGTGGAAGCAGGCACACACAGAGTTGTCCTCGGGCCTCGACGAGATCCTGAGATAACAGAGAGTCACAATGGCCCCTCTCTGTACAGTAGAGCCTTTCGTTCAGCCCTACGGCATCCGGAGTCCGGGACGATGGATCTTCGTGAGTCACTACACAGGACAAGGTTGAGATGCACAATCCTTCAAGTATACACGTATTGGTTTCTCTCTCTCTCTCTCTCTCTCTCTCTCTCTCTCTCTCTCTCTCTTTCTCTTGGAACGAAAACAGCGCCCCCAGGTTTCTCGTATCAAAATATCTGTCATGGTCTTGCGCCCTCTCAAATAGATCGAGATGGCTGTGGCTCTGGCCTCTACTGGTACATGTGAAGATGCCCAAGGGGGCGTGGGTTGGGGGTTTGATTTGATGAAAATAATATTCCCGCACGCAACCATGCGCTCCGTTCTTGGGGACGGAAATTTGGGCTCCCGGAAGAAAATAAGCCTGCGGCGTGAATTTAACCCACGTAGGACTGGGCTCTGACGGTTGGGGAAGGATTCGAGGCCGGCGATGACTGGGATAGAAGGGAAGTGGGTTGTCATGTTTTCCTCTTCTTCCTCTTCCTCTTCTTGCATCTCTGTGATGTCCTCTGCTCGTCTGAAGTTGCCTCTTCCGTCCGTCTGGTGCCCCTCTTTCTCTTTTCGTCGTCTGGTATGGAGACAGTAGGACTGACTGGAGTCTTTAACCCATTCTGAAATGATCCACAACAACTCCAAGGAAAAACTTCAAAAAGCGGTCCCTGTCCGCCCACATCCCCGGTTCAAGAACGCAGCCAAACCCGAGGCTTGCAGGACCAAGTCAGCAAGTAAAGCGGGCTGGGGCCGCTCCAAATCTCAAACCAGTCAGACTGAACCAACTGCCGCATTGCAAAAGGTCTGAAAGCTCCCCCCCCTGCATGTCGACAAGCTCGTCAACCACCAGCACCTTGTCCAGCCACTAGGAGGGGTTCGCCGTCTTATTAGCGGCATTAGTGGCAGGGTCGGGATGAGAGGGCGGACATTGGGCGAGTGAGCCCGACCAGAGAGACGGAGAGAAAGAGAAACAAGTTGGACAAAGAGACAAGACGCAGCAATGGCGGTCTGGTTGTCCAGCAAGTCGCGTGTGGCGCCACAAGCTTGGCCGGGCGTTTTGGAGAAATCCCACGACCCCGATGCCGTCCTCTATTGCCTCAGCCTAGCCCCCGACTAGAACGGAGCAAAGCGAGCGACCATGTGGCTGCTACCCGCGCGGTAATCCCTAAGCAGCGGACGAGATGCTTCCCACGCGTGCTAGCATCATCTTGGGACCGTCGCAGCCCCCTCAGCTCAGGCTCAGGCCTCAAGAGGCTGCCGGGTCTCCGGCCAGGCGCCGCTGTCATTCGCCCGTCTCGTGGGTTGTCTCGTGTTTCTTCCATTTCTCTTCGTTTCCTGTTCTCGTCCTGATTCTCTCCTCTTCCGTGCTGGAATTACACCACACTTACACTACACGCTTGACTAATTCCATTTCTGCTTGGTGTTCGCTTTTTAATGCCCCCTCGTTGTTAGTCTTGAAGGAAAAAAAAGCAGGCCACATCAATTACTTACTTGTACGGACTTTGCGAGCCAGAAATTTCAAAGATCCAAAAGCAGACAAATCCAGGGCCCTCCCTTTTTCTCCTTCACCCCCAGGATTCCCACCCACCTTGATACATACCTACATACCATACCACCTACTTCCACCTCTCTATTTTCATAACCTTCCCCATTCCCGATTGCACATACCTCGTACCTACATATAAGGCACCCGAGTTGCAGTTGCCCGAGTCCTGTTTGAAAGCGGCAGAAGAACTCCATTTCAATCAACTCGCCTCACTCACGCCCCGTTTCCCCTTCCGGGTGGCGGCCATAAGTTCCCATACCTTGCCTACATAAAACATCTGCCGGCTGGGGACATCGCCGCCTTCTCAGCACCCATCCGACACATCGAAAGAACCGCCATGGACTTCGCTGCCCAGTATGCCTTTGGCACTCACCAGGCCTTCCCCGGGGCTTTTATGCCTTTGACGCCTTCGCACTCCCAATCAGCTGGCTCGGACGATTTCAGCAATACCTCCCCGCCTGTCAGTTTGTGGTCCCCCACTCCCGCTTCTCGTGCCTTAGCGCTCCTTACTTGAGCATTACGAGAGAAGACTAATCACTACAATTGAGCCATTGCTCTCGAAGTGAACTGCTTGTTGAGTGTTGACTGATGCTGACTTAATCCCCTTGTTTGCTCCGTCTACAGGATAACTTCGCCGACCACTTCAGCGCATTCGACTACTCCCAGCCATTCGGCGGCCATCACCAGCCCTTTGGCCAGCATCCGAGCCCTCCCTCTCTGCCGCAACACCAGCATCACCAGGAGCAGCACCAGCACGGCTCCGGCCGCCAGCCGCACTCGCCTTCCACAAATGGCAGCGTCAACGGCAGCAACAGCAGCATGCGCGGCGATGGCGGATCCGGATCCGTGGCCAAGGCCGAGGCCAACGCCGACGAGCTTCGCGGCAGCGACGACGATGATAACATGACCCCGGCCCAGTCGCGAAGAAAGGCCCAGAACAGAGCTGCGTAGGTGGTTTTTTTCTCTCTCTTGTTTTTTCCCTTCTGATTCTTCTTCATTTCCCTCACGTTTCCCTTCCTGGCGCTTGCTCCCCTTTTCGGTGCCCCCCCGGCATCTCTTGGAGTAGCATCGAAGCCATGGAGCTGTGGATCGATTTGTCCGGGGATGCATTCAGCACACGGCAATTCGTAGTCTTACCGGATACCCATCGCAAAATTCCCTTACATCTACTTCTTGAGCATTCCAAAATCAAAAAGAAAAGAAAAAGAAAGAAGAAAGAAGAAAGAAAAAATAATATCAGTCCATGGCCAATAGCTACACTATCATTGGGGACTAAATACTCGATTCTTCTATTTCTTCCACTCAGGCATTGACTGACCCTGCTTTTTCCTACTTCCAGTCAAAGAGCATTCCGCGAACGCAAAGAAAAGCACGTCAAGGACCTCGAGTCCAAACTCGCAAGCCTCGAAGCCGCCCAGAAGGAAGCCGCCAACGAAAATGAGCGCCTCCGACGAGATCTGCAGAGAATGTCCACCGAGAACGAGATTCTCCGCGCCACCTCTGCCATGAACCAGAACCAGAACGGCTCCCACTCTCCCGAGCCTCTAACAACAACAACGGGGCCCATGACATACACGCCCACCGATTTCTACACCAACGTGCTCGAGGGCCACAAGAACAAGTTCCCCTCGCACCGCATAGTCACCTCCGATGATGGCCACAGGCTGCTTGCCGCGGGTGCCGCCTGGGATTTCCTCCTGGAACACCCGCTGTATAAGCGAGGCCTGGTGGACGTCAGCAAGGTGGCCGAGCACATGAGGCGAATGGCCAAGTGTGACGGACAGGGGCCTGTCTTTTCCGAGGGCGACATCAACTACGCCATTGAGCAGAGCGTCGCCAGTGGCTCTGATGACCTCTTGTAGGCAGATGAGACACGCAGAAAAGGAAAGACAGGGATGATGAGATGAGGAGACGAGTCGAGACCGGAATGCGGAAGGGGATTACCGGAAGCCTGATATTCTTGGTCTTTTTGGGCCAAAGAGAGCGAGAGCGAATTGTATCATGACTTTTAAATGTTGCATACGACTTGGCGTATATCTGCGGGGGTTGCTTTTGGGTCTCTATGCACTACACTACACTACACTACAGTGAACTGATTTGATTTGATTTGATTCTTTCATCTTCTTGTTCTCTTTTCCCATGGAGGCGGTCAAGCCCATTCGGCGACTCGGGGGCATGTTCCGGGGCACTTTGATTCGGACGATCTTGTCCGATTCTATCACGACACTTAGGCGCGCTGTGCCGCTACTCTGCA